CCCCCCCCCCCAATATTTGTAGTATAAAAAGAACTGGTTTGAATCCCAGTTCCACCATGTACCAGCTATGTGGTTATGAATGCCTTGCTAAACTTTTTAAACTTCAATTTCTTCATAAATAAAATGGAAATGATTGACTCAATAAAATTGCTATAGAATTAGATATAGTATTTATAGTGCTTAGCATACAAGCACTATAAATACAGTAAGCATTCAATAAATTATTCTATTTTTCATTATTGTCATTGTTTTTGTCATTGTTTTGTTTTTGATTGCTATTGTTTTTGGTGGTATGGTGATGGGACGAAGATTACTCTAAAATACTATCTGGTACCCAGCCAGCATGGCTCAGCAGTTGAGCATCGACCTATGATCCAGGAAGTCATGGTTCAATTCCTGGTCAGGGCACATGCCCGGGTTGCGGGCTCGATCCCCAGTGGGGGGCGTGCAGGAGGCAACCAATCAATGACTATCTCATCATTGATACTTCTCTCTCTCTCTCTCTGAAATCAGTAAAGACATATTTTTAAAAAATACATCATCTGGCTCTCTTCCCATAAGTAGCCTGGAGTGACCTGTGAAAATGATTTGCAATTCACTTGACCCAGAAAGCTCTATAAAATCATGAAAATCCAGAGGTTCAATTCTTCATGTTCACTTTAAGAACACTGATGAATGCCCAGCCAGTGTGGTTCAGTGGATTAAGCATCGTCTCATGCACCAAGAGGTCACAGGTTCAATTCTGGTCAGGGCACATGCCCAAGTTGAGGGCTCGATCCCCAGTAGGGAGCATGCAGGAGGCAACTGACTGATATTTTTCATTGGTGTTTCTCTCTCTCTCTCTCTCTCTCTAAAGTCAATAAAAACACATTTTTTAAAAAAAAGAAAAAAAGAACACTCATGAAACTGACAGGCAATCTAGGGTATACCTATCCAATATGCCACCTGAAGGATGTCACTTTACAGAAGCAATGTGTGTAGTTCTGTAGTTAGAATGGTGGAGTTGGTAGGTGTGCCCAGACCAAATAGTAGGGCTGGATGCAGGGTCAGTGGCCCAAAAAGAGTGTTGAAATTTTACTGCACAAGCTTAAAAATTTAGAGTAATGCTGAACTTAAGGGTTTAGATGTAGTCTCTCTGGTCATTGAGCTCATCCAGGTGAATAAAGTCCCCAAGATGCAGCATAGAACTTACAGAGCTCATGGGCAGATGAACCCATACAGGGGCTCTCCCTGCCACAATGAGATGATCCTTACTAAAAAAGAACAAACTATTCCTAAACCAGAAGAGGAGGTTGCCCAGAAGAAAAATATATCCCATAGGGAACTGAAGAAACAAAAACTTATGGCCCACGAGTAAATTCAGGATAAAATAAATGCTAATAAAAGTAAAAAATAAAATACCATCTAGATAGAAAAAATTTAAAAGTAAAAGCAATTTTACATAATACTTTTCCCTGGGTAAAGAAGGCAATTAAACATTTTCCTCCTCTCCCATCCATTCTAAATAGAAATATCACAAAACTGGAAAATAAAATCTCACTTTAGAAATAACAGTGCTATATATCAAACCAATATAGGAGTTATTTCTATAGGACAGGAATATAAGGAAAGTGTATTACATAATTTTTTACAATGGTCATGACTTAGTAAAACAAAATCTGTTTCCATTTAATGAGTCAGGTGAAGATAATCTCCTGAATTTCTTTTGCACGTCTCTAAAACAAAGAGTAGAGAATATGAATATACCATTAGAAATTGGTATTTTTTATCTTTTATTCTTTAGTATTGAGATTTACATTAATAAAATTCACATAACCTGTCACCATTTTTAGATGTACAATTCAGTGTTTTTTAGTATATTCCCAATGTTGTGCAATAACATTTCATCACAATCTCTTCTTTTTTTAAAATATACTTTATTGATTTCAGAGAGAGAAAAGGAGAGGGAGAGAGATAGAAACATCAACGATGGGAGAGTCATTGATCGGCTGCCTGCTGCACGCCCCAGAATGGGGATCGAGCCCGCAACCCAGGCATGTGCCCTGACTGGGAATCAAACCCCGACTGCCTACATCCTAGGTTGACGCTCAACCACTGAGCCATGCCCGGCCGGGCATCATAATCTAATTCTTGAACATTTCCATCATTTCAGAAAAAGAAAACCCTTAGCAGTCATTCTAGATTTTCCCCTCCTTCATCCCCTGGCAACCACTAATCTTTCTGTCTCTGAATTGCCTATTCTAGGAAGTTCATATAAATGAAATCATATAATATATGGCCTTTTGCGACTGGATTCTTCCACTTCATGTTTTCAAACTTCATTCATATTGTAGCATGTAGCAGTACATTCCTTTATGACTTCATAATATTTCACTGTATGGATATACCACATTTTGCTTATTAATTCATCAGCTGTTTTGCATTTGGGTGGTTGCCTCCTTTTGGTCATTGTGAATAGGATAGTGCTACTATAAAATTTGACCACCCATTTTCAATTATTCTGAGTATATATATACCTAAAAGTGGAATTGGTATGTCATGATAGTTGTTTAATTTTTTTAAAATATATCTTTATTGATTTCAAAGAGAGGAAGGGAGAGGGAGAGAGACAGAGAGAAACATCAATGATCAGAGAGTCGTCATTGATCAGCTGCCTCCTGCACGCCCCTGAATGGGGATGGAGGCAGCAACCCCGGCATGTGCCCTGACCAGGAATCAAACCGCGATCTCCTGGATCCTAGGTCAATGCTCAACAGTTGAGTCACGCTCGGCCTGATGATAGTTGTTTAATTTACTGAGGAACTGCCAAACTATTTTCCAAACCAACCACACCATTTTATATTCCTCCTAGCAATGTATAAAGATTCCAAGCTCTCCACAACCTCGTCAACACTTGCTATTGTCTTTTCTTTCGTTTTGTTTTAAATTACAGACAACCTAGGGGATGTGAAGTGGTATCT